AGAAAGCAAACACATCTCTTTTATCCCGAAGGAGCTGAATAAGTTCACAACGGGTGTTCGGATCAAGGTTCATCCCGATTGCTACACATTTCTCACCGTCTCCTTCGGCCAACTCAACTGTTTCAGTCTGTTGGTCCATGTCCATTGCCGATGGACTGGACTCTTCAGAATCTGGCCTGCTGCCAATGTCAGCAGGTGTCCCAGTCTTTTTGTTTTTCGGCTGGCTCTCTGAGTCTTGCGGCTCAGCTGAAGAGCTAGCCTTTTCCCTTTCGGGCCCTTTTTCTCTGGGCACAGATCCTTGGGCCGAAGCACTTAGGCCTTTTGGCTTTTTTGTGCTTGGCTCTCTTTCTTTCTCCTCCTCATCCTTGTCGTCATCTGGGCGACTACTGGATGGCTTGAGGTAGTTGCACCTTCGGGCGTCCTTTTGGTTGCCCTATATCCTTTCGGGGAAGCCGGCGTCTGAGACGTAAATCATCAGCTGATGATAAGTTGAGACGACCCCTTGGATCTCGTGAATTATGGGTCTCCCCAAAATCACGTTGTACACTGAAGGAGCGTCGATGACCAAAAATTCAATCATGACGTTCCGGGCTGCCTCATCGCAACCGATGGTGACAGGAAGTGTCACCTTCCCATCTGGATAAGTTGAAGCCCCATTGAACCCGGATACCGGGTAGGGTACCGGCGTAAGGTGCTTGGGCTTCAGCTTAATTTGATTGTAGGCCTTTCGGAACAGAATGTTTGCTCCACTGCCACCGTCAACAAGGACCTTACTGACGTCGTGGTTGGCCACCGTGGCGATGATCACCAACGGATCCTCGTGAGGGAACGTAATCCCCCGGCAGTCGGCGGCTGTGAACGTCATGTTCGGCACCGGCGACTGGGGAGATTGAATGTCAGCGTTGTTCACCTGGTGAGTCAAAGCTCTAAGGTGGCGCTTGTGCTCCCTCCGAGAGTATATTCCTCCCGAGATAACATTGATCGGAGGGAATTTCCCCTCCGGCTTTTTACTGTTTTTCCGGGGGAAGTCGAGGTCCTGCCGAGGGTCCTTGGCTGACCTCTCGGATTCTTTTTTCTCGCGGTGATCCGCGATGTATTTTTTCAAGTATCCCTTCCGGACCATGTCCTCTATCTGGTCCTTCAGTTGGATACACTCCTCAGTGTTGTGTCCCGAAGACTCGTGGAACTCGCACCACTGATTTTTATTTTTTTCGCTGATACCACTCTGGGAGTGGTCTCGGCTTTCGGTAACTCTGCTCCTCCTTCGTCACGCTGTAAATTTTGGCGCGTGGAAGAGAGAGCGGAGTGTAGGACTCGTATCTGCCTGTGTATGAGGCAGATCTTTCCTTCTTTGGGTCGATGGCCAAAGATTGCTCCGGGGCCTTTGACTTTCCCTTTGCCTTATGGCCTTGGCCTTCAGACAAGGGTATTTGTCTCTGTTTCCCTCCCCCAAATTGAGGTTGGGTTTTCGCTTTGTTCCATTCTTCGGCTCGGATGAACTTATCCGAAGCATTAAGAGCTTCCTCCAAGGTCTGCGGGGTATGCATGACCATGAAGTCTAGGAACTTTCCGGGCTGAAGGCCATTCTGCATTGCGAAAACGGCTAGCCCCTGGTCCAGCTGGGAGACGCTTGATGACTCGTTACTGAAACGGGTCAGGTAGTCTCGGAGGCTTTCGGTTTCCCCCTGTTGCAGACTCATGAGCTCTGCGGTAGTCTTCTCTCGGCGGTTTGCCGTGGAAAACTTGCTCCTGAACTTGGAGGACAGATCATCCCACCCTGTTACGGAGCCTTGCCTTACTCCCTTGGAGATCCACGCTTGCGCGACCCCCTTGAGAGTGGTTGGGAAATATTTGCACCAAGTCGCCTCGGATCTGGGGCAAAGATGCATATGAGTCTCATACGAGGCCACGTGATCCTTCGGATCCGTGGTCCCGTCATATGTGATGTGCGACGGTATTTTAACCGTGGGTACGCGCTCTTCCAGTATCCATTGTTCGAATGGTGAACTGGCGGGTAGCATAACGGCCTTGCCCTTGTTCCTGGCCGAAGGGACCGCGCTCCGCCCTCTTAGAGAGGTAGGAGTGGTTTTCGTCCCTGGCTGGGAAGTCTGGGCCTCGGCTGCAGGGAACGAGAGGCGACTGCGCACGCTCGGTTCCTTGCCGCCGAGTCGGTCAAGGACGCTTCTGCGAACAGTCTCAGGTTCTCGGTGAGTAGATTCTGGCCGAGAAGCTGAGCTGCTGCTCTTATGCGCTTCTGGTCTTGAGGATGAGGATCCTTTTAAAAATTGAGGGTTCTTTTTCCTCTGTTTTTCATTTTTCCAGGAATCCTCCTCCCACTCTTCCAGTTCCCGGAAGGAAGGAAGCTTCCCACCATCATGGTCTAACTTCCTCCGCTGATGCCGGGTATGCGGAGGAGTTCGATCACGAGGTGGTGGCATATTTTGTGCCCTCATCGCCTCCATGAGTACTGCCAGCGCTCTTGCCACCTCTTCCGAGCTGGGCCCCGTCAAAGGGGTCCTCGGCCGAGTGTGGGAATGAGGGCGCGCAGCCGATGGTTGGCTTTGGGACACTGAATGTGTCCTATGATCGGACTCACCCCTGCTAGACCGAGAGTGACCCGGCCTATAACGAGAGTCATGAATTACGGGAGATAGGGAATCCTCCTTGTATGATCCTCCCCCCGAGCCGGCACCCTTGGGAGAGTTCCGGTCCGGCGAGGGTGATGGTGTAGGGGTTTTAGGCTTTTCGCCCGCTCCTTGACGGAGGCTTTTGCTCTTGCGGTTCTTAGCCATTGCTGCTAAGATAATTGCAAGATGATCTTGGTTAGGAATTTGGCTTAAAGATTTTTGAAAGTCGTCCCCACAGACGGCGCCAAATTGTTTCGGGTGAAAACAATGGGACCTTGCCGAAGGTCCGCTGAAATGGAGAAGGTTGGATTCGGTCCAAGTTATGTTGGGCCGAAGGTTTCCTGCACAGTAAACACACGTAAACTAGCCTCGGGGGTGTTGCCGAGGAAGGCCCCTCCGATGCTAAAGTCAGTACAATGTGTAAGAAGAGGACACTATGCAAGAGAGTTTGTTGCTTGAGGCTTTTATGAAATATATCAGAATATATGAATGAACATATGAATCTATGAATGAATCAGCCTATGAATGTATCAATATTGATGGCTTTTATACCTCATCATACATGGAGAGGTTGGGCCTTAGCCCAATTGGCTTGCTTTGTGGGCTGACCTTTGACTTTAGCACAATTGGAGAGTTGAACCTTGACCTTGGGCTTTTAATTGGATCATTTAGTGCTTAGGCTCAATTGGACTAAATTGGACCCAAACAGGTGATTTCTGATTTTTGTTATTTAGTTTGAATTATGTACAATTGATTTATGTTTTTTTTAATTGTTCTTTCTCTCTTGGATGGGTAATTCAGGGTGCCCTGTTTTTCCTCTGTTTTGAGTTCATTATCATCGCTTACTACCAATGAATCATGTGATCTATCAATGAAATTATTTGCAGTTATGTTAATTATGTAAATTGAATTACTACGGATTATATGTATGACAACAAAACTTAGAAGCCGGAATTTTAATGAATGTCAAAGTTTTGACTTCTATGAGTTCTATCATAAAACACACGGCAGAATTTTAAAAGCATATACTAGTAATTGACTTGATGTAACTTGTCAATATATACTTTTTTTTTTTTTTTTTTTTTTTGACCTGTTTCATTTATTATGTTTGTCAATGTATATTTTTTTTTTGAACCAAATTGTCTAATACATTGAGGTGAATTTAACAAAATCTTACATGAATATACTTTTATTTACACGTACATAACATTTTTAAAAAAAGAGTAATAAATAATATAAAAGACAAAATGAGTCAAGTAAAAAATAACGAATGAAGTAATATTTAGAGACAGAGGACAAAGGACATGTTCCCAAATATAAAATGGTTGCAAAATTAGTGCAGCTATACATAATAAGTACTGTACTAACATAGTAGGCCATTTGAGATACTGTGATGTTAAACTAACCAACTAACCATCGCCAATACTGGTTTATTCTCTTTCAATTTCAATCCAAAAAGTACGGGGAACATATTTATATATAAAGGCTCAATCTCAACGTACTACTTTTAATTTTTAAGATGAAAATCAATACCTACAATTTTCAATATTTAAATTTTTAATTAATTCAGGATAATTTCTATTTTAGAAGTGTCTTACTAAATTAATCCTACATAGCTTAATTGTGATTTTTTAAAAAATACGGAGTATTAATCTTTTTCTAGCATTTTTGCTTTTGTTTTGGCCACTACCAATGCAGACGCTTTGTGTGGACTTTCAACAAAGTTGGGACTGTTTCGAAGTACTTAACTCTTCTTTGTGTGTAGGTTCTTGTTTGGCCGATAGAAGCAGAACGAGTTATATACTTGGACTTCGGATCTTGGAGTTGGGTCATTAGAGTCCTGCAGAAACAATTTGGCGCTAGAAGGAGGGGAAGCTACTTAATAGCTTCTGTCGCCTAAAAGAGCCTCATACATTCCGATAAAAAAAAAATGCATGATCCAGAAATTCAGATTGAGGATGAAACTCATACTCTGGAGGGTAACGAGTTTCATATGTCGTTAACTCCTGAAGGGCAAGCTGGAGCAGATGCAGACCCTATGGCTGGGTTTACATCAGAAGAACTGGAAACGGCCGCAAGAGTGATGACCGCCATGAGTAAAAAAAGAAAGGAGGTAGGAGAACCCAAGATGGAGGAGGGGTGCCTTTTACAACTCACGACAATCAATTTAACCGGACTGGAAGTTCACAAAGACGCCGGCATGAAGGGTCACCGATAAGATCCCAGCAGACCCCTAGAGAATCAGAGGTTCAATTCTCAAGTCAAGATGAAAGTACACGGACTTATCAGCAAGGAGCGGTGCGAAGAGTAGTTCATTTGAGGTCATCACCATTTGCGCAGAGCATCCTCGATCAACCGATGGAAAAAATCAAAATGCCGACATGTCGGTATGATGGAAGGGGAGATCCAGGTAGATACATGACCTCATATGAGGGGCACATGATTTTATATACCAATTCTGATGTCGTTTGGTGTAAAGTATTCCCCACCACTCTAGTTGGAGCAGCAGCCGATTGGTTCAATAATCTTGAAAACGGAGCGATTCATAGTTTCCAACAGTTAGCCGAAATGTTTGTGGGGCAGTATGTTAGTAATAGTGTTCGGCAGAGAACTTCTGGGGAGTTAATGGCTGTTACTCAAAAGGCATATGAGTCTCTAAGGGATTACATAAGAAGGTTTAATAATGAAGCTAATACAATTCCGAGATTACAACAGGAGATAGCAGTCGTGGCACTAATGAATGGTCTGAATGATTCAAAATTTAAAAGATACTTAACCAGAAAAAATCAGCCGACATTAGCTGCAGCTTTCAACAAAGCTCATGATTATATAAAGAGTGAATAATTGATGAAAACAAGCAGCCGAGTTAGTTCCACCGATAGGATTCACCCGATGTCAGAAGGGAGATCTTCAGGAGTTGGAAGGCAGAGGAATCCTACCGCAGCAAGGGGAGGAAGCCGTCAAGAGGTTAGAGGAACCAAGGCACCAATGCAATATAATTCGTATACACCTATGAATGCACCGAGGGCTGCAATATATTCTGTAAATCAGAATCGGGAAGGATGGGTGAGGCCCATGCCGATGAAAGTGAAAGGAAGGGATACCAAGAAATATTGTATGTTCCACCGAGATGTGGGGCATTAAACTGAAGACTGTGTGCAGTTAAAAGATAATATTGAAGAACTAATAAGAAGGGGACATCTCACTCAATATCGGCTACACTCTGGAGAAAGTCAGCAACAGCAATACCGACAACCAAAGCGTCAGCAGATAGAGCTCAGGCCAGAAAGGCAAGGGCAAGTGAACCGGCAAGGTGAAAGTGGGAAGCCACCATTGTCTACTGGAAAAAGAGTTGATGTAATAACCGGTGGACCAGTTCACGGAGGAACGATAAGTGGAACACGGAAGCACCTATCGGAACATCGACACATTGTTAATGCATTAGATGTTAGTGATCGCCCGCAACCGTCTGAGATTCCAAATGTGACCTTCACCAAAGAAGATGCAAAGGGAATAGTTTTTCCTCATGATGATCATCTCGTATTGATAGCAAAAATCAATGGAGCTGATGTGAAGAGAATTCTAGTTAACGGAGGAAGTTCAGCAAATTTTTTATTTATGCAAGAGTTTAATGAGTTGATGATAGGCCGACAATATCTAACGCCGGTATCTTATCCGGTGATTTGGTTTAATGGTTCGATAGTAAGACCAGAAGGGAGTATAGTTCTCCCTGTTAGGTTTGGAGATGGAGCAACGGCAAGAGATGCAATGGCTGATTTTTTGGTGGTGGATGTACCATCGGCATATAATGGAATTGTTGGAAGGCCGATAATTCACGACATACAGGCAGTAGTATCTAGGGGTGAGCGTAGCAGGGTACCCTGTAAAAATATCAGGACCCGGAACCGGAACCTGTTGCAGCAGGTTCCTAAAAATAGGAACCGGAACCGGAACCTGTTGCAACAGGTTCCTAAGAATTGAGAACCAGAACCGAAACCTGCAGGTTACGGTTCCTAAACAGGGTACCCTGTCTGTCAAAGTAAGTTTAATAGTTACTTGATAAATTGTGACAATTTTTTTTTTAAAAAAATAGATGATCACAATAAAAGCTTACAAATTTAGTATAGTACTTCAAATATAACAAACCAACACTAATTGTTTAGAATTTTTAATACCATATAGGTTCCGGTTTCATGTACTCTATAGGGAACCTGTACTAACAGGGTACCTTACAGGTTCTAGATCCAAAATTTTATTACCCGGAACCAGAACCTGTTGCAACAGTTTCCTAATTTTATTACCCGGAACCGGAACCTGATCAACAGGTTCCGGGTTTGGAACATGTGGTTCCAAACAGGCTCCGGTTCCATATCAGGGTACCCTGAATTTTTGCCACCCCTAGTAGTATCAACTTACCATTTAACTATTGCTTATGTGTCGAATAGAGGGGTTGTAGAAAAGGTACATGGCGGACAGGTGATGGAAAAATCATGTTATGTCACGGCACTGAAAAATCCAGGGCAAAAAGGAGCAGTACCGAACAACCCGAAGCGAGCAAGAGAGCCAACGGTGTGAGATTTATCTATGGAGAATTTTGACTCTAGGCTAGAAACTGCACCGAGGCCGTCACCAGGAGGTGAGACAGTGCAGATAGAGCTCCGACCGGGGAACCCAAATCAGACGGTCAAAGTTGGGGCTGATATGGATGTTGAAATGAGATGTAATCTGATCAGCTTATTAAGGGAGAATGCAGATGTGTTTGCCTTCTCGGCAAATGATATGCCTGGCATACATCCGGAGGAAATGGAGCATAAGCTTAATGTAGATCGAAGGTTTAGACCGGTAAGGTAGAAAAAGCGCAATTTCTCAATAGAGAAAATTGAAGCCATTCAAGCAGAAGTCAACAAGCTGTTAACGACAGGATTTATAGAACCATGCACTTATCCAGAATGGTTAGCAAATGTCGTGATGTTCAGGAAGCCGACCGGAAAATGGCGGATGTGCGTGGACTTTACAGATTTAAATAAGGCTTGCCCAAAAGACTGCTATCCGCTGCCTCGGATAAACAGATTAGTAGATTCAACTTCTGGCCATGAGATGTTAAGCTTCTTAGATGCGTTCTCCGGATATCATCAGGTCAGTCTTCATGAAGCAGATAAGCCTAAAACAGCTTTTATAATAGATGCTGGGGTATACTGCTATAGGGAAATGCCGTTTGGGCTAAAGAATGCCGGTGCAACATATCAGAAGCTGGTTGATAAAATTTTTGCAAACCAAAAAGACCGTAATGTGAAAGTATATGTAGATGATACGATAGTAAAAAGCAAGATGAAAAAAGATCACATAGATGATTTGAAAGAAACTTTTGCAACTTTGCGGCAATATCAGATGAAGTTCAATCCAGAAAAATGTGTTTTTGGAGTTTGATCTGGAAAATTTTTAGGTTTCATGGTTAGTGAACGAGGCATTGATGCAAATCATGATAAGGTTAATGCTCTTCTTGAAATGAAGCAACCTAAGTCAATTTGAGACATCCAGAGATTAACGGGAAGAATGGCGGCCTCAACGCGCTTTATTAGCAAATCAGCAGATAAAGCACTCCCGTTTTTTGTGGTTCTATGAAAGAACAAATCGTTTGAATGGGGAAAAGATCAAGCCAATGCCTTGGAGATGGTAAGAAATCATTTGAAATCTCTCCCGACAGTAGCACGACCGGAGCCGGAAGAATACTTACAATTATACATATGAGCATCACCAAAAATAGTAGCCTCAGTTCTGCTAGTTAAAAGAGCCAAGCTACAAATGCCGATATACTTTGTCAGTCATGTTCTTAATGATGCTGAGCGACGATATCCAGTGATAGAAAAAATGGCATTTGTTGTCGTTATTGCCGCTAGAAAATTAAGACCTTATTTTGATGCACATCCGATAGAAATCCTTACGAATCATCCATTAGAAAAATCACTGCAAAAAATGGATACATCGGGAAGGTTACTGAAGTGGGTTGTTGAGTTGTTAGAGTACGAGTTGTATTACAAGCTAAGAGTGTCAATAAAAGCACAAGCCTTATCAGATTTTGTTGTGGAAACCTCTTATAATGATGAAGAGGAAGAATTGGGGACATGGCAGGTATCTGTAGATGGTTCAGCAACCTTAATAGGATCAGGAGCCGGTATTGTGATAACAGCTCTAGATGGAGAAACTTTTGAGTATGCTTTGAAGTTCAAGTTTAAAGCAACAAATAATGAAGCTGAGTATGAAGCAGCAATAGCAGGCATTCAGCTCTCCATAGCGGCAGATGCAAAAAGGTTAATCCTCAAAACTGACTCACAATTGGTTTCCAGTCAGTTTAGTGGACAGTATGAAGCAAGAGAATTGGCAATGATAAAGTATCTAGAAAAAATAAATGAGATTACAGCCCAGTTGCAGTATTTTGAAGTCCAATTGGTGCCGAGAGCACAAAATTCATATATAGGTTGATGCTCTAGCAAAGCTGGCCAGTTCAAGTTTTATTGACTTGGAGAGAACTTCTATGGTGGAAGTTCTGAAGCACAGAAGTATAGATGAGACGGCAAAGGATGTTCATTATATTCAGCTGGGGGATCAATGGTATGACAAAATCCTAACAAATCTGTTGACAGGAGCTTTGCCAATAGAGAAAGAAGAATCTCGAAAAATCAGAAAAGATAGCATTTAGTTTGTAATATACCAAGGCCAAATTTATAAAAAAGGGTTCTCATTGCCGTTACAAAGATGCATAATGGCCGAAGAATATGCAAGGTTAATAGAGGAAATTCATGAGGGAACTTGCGGAAACCACCTAGGGGCACGAGCTCTTTCAAGGGAAGTAATGAGAAGAGGGTATTATTGGCCAACAATGAATGAGGATGCTTCTTCTTATGTTAAAAAATGTGAAAAATGTCAGAAGTTTGCACCTATTCTAAATCAGCCACCGAATGGCCTAACGCCGATATTGAATCCAGTCCCTTTTGTAGAATGGGGAATGGACATAGTTGGTCCCTTTTTATCAGCCACAAGAGGTCGAAAATTCTTACTGGTAGGCATCAATTACTTCACCAAATGGATCGAAGCAGAGCCGGTAACCACAATATCGGCTGCAGAGGTGAGAAAGTTTATCTGGAAGAATATCTTCACAAGATTTGGCCTTCCGAGAGCGATGGTTTTTGACCATGGATCACAGTTTGATTGCAAGCCTGTGAAAACTTTGCTGACAATGTATAAAGTCAAGTTTGCATACGCAGCAGTTTGTCATCCACAATCAAACGGCCAAGCAGAGGCAGCTAATAAGCAGATAGTAATGGCAATAAAGAAAAAGATCGAGGATGCCAAAGGGTTATCGGAAGATTTGGTTCCAGATATCTTATGGGCAAATAGAACAACAGTTAGAGAGGCAACAGGAGAATCCCCTTTCCATTTGGTTTTCGGAACAGAAGCTGTCATACCTGCTGAGGTCGGTTTGCTGACATTCAGAATACAACATTACTGTGAAGAGCAAAATGATCTACTGTTGAGACAACAGCTAGATTTTTTACCAGAAGTAAGAGAAAGAGCAGCAGTTAAATCAGCCGCATACAAAAACAGAATGTCTAGAGCCTATAATAAAAGAGTCAATCACCGACCACTGGCCATCGGGGATTTAGTGTTAAGAAGAACATCGGCAACAGGAAAGGGAAATGAAGATGGAAAGTTAACAGCTACCTGGGAAGGTCCATATCGGATAAGAGATACAGTAATGCAAGGATCATACTATCTGGAATCAGAAGACGGAAAACCACTAAAGAACGTCTGGAATACGGCAGTTCTTAAAAAGTATTATGTGTAAA